GCGCCTTGGTCTAGTTGTAGGGAAAGGTAGAGGCCGTGTCAAGGCTATCAACTCACCTCCCCAGCCAGTGGGTGGAATAGCCAAAGAAGTACCGGTGAAGCTTGGCCCTTACGAAGGAAAATTCAACCTGCGCGTGGTGATCATAGATGACTTCGAGTTGATAGTTGGATTGGAATTCCTGAGGCAAACCAACACCATGCCTGTACCGTATGCTGACATGTTACTGATGATGGGAGCAAACGGGACCAAGCCCAACATTATCCCGTGCATGCCCATGAAGATGGCCGTTGAAAACATCTCGGTCTTGCAGTTGAAGAAGGGGGTCAAAAGAAATGAACCCACGTTCCTGGCAACTCTCTGCATTGAAGATGTAGAACGCTCCTCGGGTCCCATTCCTAAGCCCGTAAAGGAGCTACTACTAGAGTTTGAAGATGTCATGCCACAATACATGCCAAAGCGACTACCACCTAGGCGCACTGTGGACCATGAAATTGAGCTGGTGCCGGGCGCGATGCCACCCGCCCGGATGCCTTACAGAATGTCACAACCCGAACTCACCGAGTTTCGGAGACAATTGACGGAAATGCTAGACACAGGGATTATCGTGCCCTCCAAATCCCCATACGGGTCCCCTGTGCTATTCCAAAAGAAACATGATGGTAGTCTACGACTCTGTGTGGACTATCGGGCTCTAAACAAAATTACTGTGAAGAACAAGTACCCTATTCCGCTAATGGCAGACTTGTTCGATAGACTGGGTGGTGCGGCGGTGTTCACCAAAATAGAACTGAAGATAGGTTATTGGCAAGTTCGGATTACAGAGGGTGATGAGCACAAGACGACCTGTGTGACAAGATATGGGTCGTACGATTTCCTGGTTATGCCATTCGGCTTGACTAACGCCCCAGCTACGTTTTGCACTTTGATGAACCAAGTCTTCCGAGAGTACATTGATGAATTCGTGGTGGTCTACTTGGATGACATTGTGTTATATAGCCAAACATTGGAGGAACACCTGCTGCACTTGCGGAAGGTCCTAGCTCGATTGCAGGAGCATGAACTATATGCGAAGCTATCTAAGTGCTCCTTTGCTCAAAAGCAAATTGACTTCCTCGGACATGTCATCGAGGAAGGGCGGATCAAGATGGACCAGCAGAAGATTCAGGCAATCACAGCTTGGCCGCCGCCTAAGGATATCCACGCCTTGAGGGCGTTCCTTGGTCTATGCAATTTCTATTGGCGATTTGTGAAAAACTACTCCCTCATTGCAATACCATTGATAGAACTCCTCAAGAAGGTCATGCCTTGGGAATGGGGACCCAAGAGAGCGGAGGCCTTCAACGCATTGAAAGCGGCTATGTCTAGTAGTCCCGTCTTAGCCCTTCCTGATCTGGCCAAGCCATTCGAAGTACAAACAGATGCATCTGACTATGCCCTCGGTGGAGTCCTGCTACAAGAAGGGCATCCTGTAGCGTATGAGAGTCGGAAGCTGAAAGATGCAGAGCAGTGCTATGCCGCCCATTAGAAAGAATTACTGGCTGTCGTCCACTGCTTGCGCCTCTGGAGGCACTATCTGCTGGGGACCCCGTTCGTGGTCAAGACAGATAACACAGATGTTAGCCATTTCATGACCCATCCGAAGTTGAATGGTCGACAGGCCAGGTGGCAGGAACTCCTAGCTGAATTCCACTTCAACCTGGAGTACCGAAGTGGGAAGACCAATCATGTTGCTGATGCGCTCAGTCGGAGAGCTGATCTAGCATCAGTGTGCTTACTCGCCACCCTAAGGGGGAGCGAGGTAGCCACCTCCATCAAGGACCAGATACAAGATCTACTCATCAGAGATCCTGCTTCACAGTATTTGGTTGATTTGGTAGGACAAGGNTCCTGCTGCACAGTATTTGGTTGATTTGGTAGGATAGGGAAAGACTCGCCAGTTCTACATGGAAGATGATTTTCTGAAAGTGAAAGGGAACCGACTTTATGTTCCTAAAGGAGGAGATCTGCGAAGGACTCTTCTGGCTGAATGTCATGATACTCTGTGGGCCAGCCATCCTGGTGAAGAACGCACCATGGCGTTACTTCGTCGTGCATATTATTGGCCTCAAATGGTCGATGACGTTGCTCAGTATGTGAAGATTTGTCTAGTATGCCAGAAGGACAAGTCAGACCGCTTAACACAAGCGGGACTCTTGGAACCACTAGCTGTCCCAAAGAGACCTTGGGAAAGTGTTTCCCTGGATTTCATCACCGGATTGCCCAAGGTCGGAGATCTAACAACTATCTTGGTTGTGGTAGATCGGTTTTCCAAGTATGCTACCTTTATTGCTGCCCCACAATATATATCAGCAGAAGATACAACTCGACTCTTCTTCTCTCATGTCGTCAAATATTGGGGCATGCCCAAAGACATTGTTAGTGATCGAGACTCACGCTTCACTAGTAACTTTTGGACCCAACTCTTTAAGTGCCTTGGGTCGAAGCTGAGTCACAACTCAAGTTTTCATCTGCAATTTGATGGCCAGACGGAGCGGTTCAATGGTATGTTGGAGGAATATCTCCGTCATTTTGTAACCGAATCGCAGAAGAATTGGGTGAAGCTTCTGGATGCTGCTCAACTGTGTTTCAATTCACAAAAGAGCTCTAGTACAAACAAAAGCGCTTTTGAAATTGTTACCGGACAGCAACCGCTACTCCCACACACCGTCAATGCACCAAATATGTCTAAATCTCCTCGAGCTGCTAGCTTCTCTAAAGAGTGGAAGCAAAATTTGGAGATAGTGCGGAGCTATCTTGTCAAGGCTCNCGGAGCTATCTTGTCAAAGATCAAAAGCAGATGAAGAGGCATGCTGATCAGAATCGTCGCTTTGTTGAATACCAAATAGGAGATAAAGTGATGGTATAATTTCCAAAGCGTTACTTATTTGCGGGGGTCCATGACCCTCGCCTATTGCAAAAATACATTGGACCCTTGTCCATTGAAAGGCGCATTGGGAAAGTTGCATACGGGTGGATACCCCAGCTTGGTGGAAAATTCATCATGTCTTCCATGTCAGCCTCCTGAAACTTTTTCGGGAAGACACGGAGGATCCTTCAAGGAGCCAGCTCACAATACCCAAAATTCGAGGGCCCAATTCAACCGGGAAAAGGCGTGTGAAAGCTATCCTTGATGATAGAGTGATTCATGACTCAAGGAAAGATCACCAAGAGTTCTTGGTGAAATGGCAGGGCTGTGATGCAGAAGAGAACACTTGGGAGAGGGGAACAAACCTCAAAGCCTACAAGAGCCTAATTGAAGATTATCTTGCAAGTAAGGCGCCGAGGACGTCGCCAACTCAGGTGGGGGAGAATGTCATGGACGGCTTTTCAGCCGTGCCCCATGACCCCTTGGGCGCGCCCCGTGGCGTTCTAGCAAGCCTTCCAATGCCTAGCACCACGGACGGCCCCGTGGTCTTGGCCGCGCCAAGTGACAAGCGCGCATGTGCCTCTGTCGCCCCACCGATATCCCTCGCCAGCGCCCAACCGCAGGCAGATGCCAACAGCGCCGCGCGCGCAGACCCTGATGCCAAAGACTATGCTGCTGACAACGAACCTGTTTCTGCCTTATAGAAAATTAAGTCTTTTTCATTGTAAATATAGAGTAGTTTTATTCCACGTACTTCTATTATGTTTCTCTAGCTTAATCAAATCTAGTCTTGTAGCTTTGGTTTATTTTTTTTAAGTATTATTAGGGAGGATCAAGCAATCAAACTTTCTAGCAAGCAAACAATTCTCTGTACTGGTGTCTCTCCCCCTCGACACCGCGTTGCCTTTCTGTAATAGCTTTCATTAATGCAATCAAGCTTTCTTTCATTCTCAATTCTCATTCATGTTCTCTCAATTGCTCTTGGCATTGGTTTTCCCGTACGGCACTGACAATCTAGTCTAGCGTACGGAGGGGACCTTAGTTGGTGGACAACAACTGTACTGACATCAGTTACTTCGTCTTACGTCGCCCTTCCAAGGAATCTCATGAAGGCGTCGCGTAACAGTACCCATGTCCCATGCTCAGAGCCTCCTATGATACAATTATTATTTAGTGTACTTTTACAAGTAAAATTGGCGGTTGAAAACCCACTTAGAACGGTCTTGTTTTCGACACGTAGTAAACTTATATGTGTGTGTGTGTGTGAAAATTACTAAAATTTAAACAAAAAAATCATAATTTTAAACTTATAATTTCAAAAGTATAATGGGGTCAAATATAAATTCTAGATGCACCTCTTCACAATAGTTTACACATTCTCTTAAAATCCTAAATCCGCCTATGTACATGCCTAGCTATGACAGAAAGTTGACTGCTTTTTGTATATGCACTAATGACGATTGAAATTTGACTTAATCTCCCTAGCATGCATCTTAAATTTATATTTACCAGGTCTTTACACCAAACCACATCAATAAAGCACGATTAAGTGAATTAGTGATATAAAATACATATTAATTAATCATGATTTAAACAAAACAACTTTATTTGCAAACACGTGTCAACATCCAAAATAAACATTAAATGCAGATAAATTTTTACCATTAGCTTTTCGTTCTGATTTGTAAAAGTCTATATATGATGTACAAGACCTGAACAGTGAAATTATCCTTAATGTCCTCGAGGAAAGGAACATTATATGGATTTTTTTTGCAGCAAATACTTTAATTTGGTGGACTAGTCAAATTGAGATAAATCAGATTACGTCTTAAGTATATGCTTCTCTTCTTTTCCCTGCTCAGTTACATACAATGCAGCTTAGAAAAATGACATTATATAATCACTATAAAAATAATAGCCGAAAAATATATAAAATTTGTATACTTTTTGTATATATATACATTCTATATGTTATATACAAAAATCATACAAATTTTATGCACTTTTTTCGGCTACCAAATATAAATAGTTTCTAGCACGGGCTAAAAGTGATAATACCCCAGTTAACGAAATTGGAGAAACTCTAATTGATTAAACCTGAAACTTATTACCATAACTATTTACATTTGTGTGTTAAAATATTCCATATAATTTCAAAAAAACATTTATATGGGCTAAGTCTAACCTGTTACTAGCAGATAATATACAATGGAATCTAATATAGAAACTGTGAAAATAATAATTTAAAATCAGCCATTGATACTCCAAATAATTTTGACAAAATGGCTGCCACGGTTATCCATCTTCATATAGTTACTGAATGCTGTATGTCTGTGCAATGAAAAGGAACAAGACTGCATTTAGATTTGTTAGAAAAATAATCAAAGAAAAGTCAGTCTAGGCTAAAGGCCACAAATAGTCAAAATAGTAGGAGCTTATTAAAAAAATAATCAAAAAAGTTGACTCCTGCAATGATGCAAAGTGCACAGTAAATTTAACTACTACAGTTTACAGAAGGAAAACCACATTCAGATATGTCAGAAAAGCAATATATACATGCATATAGAGGCGGATCCAGGATTTGAGACTTATGGGTTTCTACCGTAATTTCAAGTTAATATGCAATAATAACTGGGTTCACAGTTAGATATTTTACAAATATTTAGTGAATTTCTTAATATAAATACAAGGTCTATGCAAGAGTTATTGGGTTCCCGGGAACCCGTATTCAATGTAGGTCAGCCCCTGCATGCATACATATACGCGCGTGTGTGTGTGCGCGCGCTCGATTTAGAGGCACAATAAGGCCTATTATCCTCTTCATTGACAGGTTAAAGAATAAGCTATTAAGAAGACTGCATCTTTGATTTCTTTAAACAGTAGAAATACTGCAGTAAAAAATAGGACTAAAATCTTACCTCTATATATAGACACAATAAACTCAGCTTGAAAATTGTTCCGTCAGTTTGAAAGTAACTTTCAAAGTTATATCACCATAAGGTTCATTTTGATTTGCATCGACAAGTCCACAATTCTCCAACACCTAGAATCAATTTCCAGAAGGAAGGCAATAAGTAAAATAATACAACAACAACAACAACAACAACAACAACAACAACAAAAAATCCAGTGAAATCCCACAAGTGAGGTCTAGGGAGGGTGAAGTGTACATTATCCCTACCTAATGAAGGTAGAGGTTGTTTCCGAAAGACCCTCGGCCCAAAAGAAGTGAAAATGAAACAATAAACAGACAGTAACAACAACCACGTAAGTAGACATGAGCACAAATGAAGATACGTGCAACAACAGCTATCTAAGAATATGACACTATAACAATATATTCAATCTTGCTGGAAATAATAACACAATATGAAATAGCAAGGGGCTAGGCATAGAAAAATACAAGACTAGGACTAATACTACAGGGATGCTTAGATGAAACTCTAGACTGCCTGTCAACCCACAACACTAATCCTCGACCTCGACATACTCCTATCGAGGGTCATGTCCTCGGTAAGCTGAAGTAGCAAGGCAATAAGTAAAATATCTTTTGAAATAGTTCCTCAAACAATTGATAGAAATTATGCTAAATATGATCATTGGCTAAGCAAATGATGCATATCATATATGCAACTAAAAGGCAACAAAGCATATATATACACCTTTTTCTTGACTCAATCAAACACACAGTTAAAAATGATATTAGTAGTGTAAGAGCAATTAAGACTAACAACAGTCTCAAAGAACATTCGGGCACATATTTTCCTGTTTTTGCCTTCTAGAATTGTATTTGCCTTCTAAAATTGAGCCACAGCTCTACAAACATAATATTAAAAGAATATCCCGCAACGTTAACCAATATTATGAAAAAGAATTTTTACCATGTGTTACCTTGTTCTAGCAGATAATGTGTCAAACTCTGGTGTTCCCCCTTCATTACTTGATAAATAACCAACTTCAGGAGTTCCTGGAAATCCTGATTTTAGTATATATAGGTATATATACAAGCTTCAGGCACATGTTACATCAACAAAACCGAGATATTTATGATGCCACAGGCATAGCACATAAACTTGAACCAACATTATCCAAATTACAACCAATCCTTAAGCTTAAAAAGAAAAAAGAAAAATAGAGGTTCTTAGCTCACCAACGGGAGTCCTGTCATCTTGGTCCAGAAAACTCAAATCCTGCATCAGCATTTATCAATTTATCAGGTGGAAAACAGGTTCTGAACTAAGTTTAATAGTCATTTTGGCTTAACAAAATTTGACCATAAAGATGCATGTAATAGTCAAGCCTTAAATGAGAATGACTACAAGAACATTCAAATATGAACCATAAATTTTCACTCACGTCGAAAGTAGAACTAAATACTAGCCTAAAATAGAGCAATATAAGTCTTCAACAATAAATAAACAATGAAAATCTGGAGCTAATGAGATTACTGTAGATGATATTAATCTGCTGAAACTGTTATCTAGATATGTAGAAATGTAGATTCGTACTTCACTATTTAACGGGGAAGCAAGCATGATCGAACATACCCCAGCAGAATTATCAAACTCAGGAATATCAGACAGAATGGTATTCTCCACATCTAGTCCGTCTCCGTACCATGTTGATGGGGTCTCCATATCAGAACCAACACGCCCAGTAGATGCTGCTGGGTCCGGCGTGGCATTTGTGGAGAGGAAATGAATTTATTCGGTGAAGGAAAAATTTCAGACAACAAATTGGTGCATGCAAATTCTTGATTATCACGTAGTCTTTCTGTTTCAATCCCAAGATCATTCCCAGGTAGAGGGGAATGGTTGCCACTGGGTTCTACATGATCCTCTAATGAGGAAGCGGTCTTGATTTTTGCTGAAATGAAGTCTTCCTTGTAGATGTTGCAGATATCATTATGTACTCCTACAAAATTACAAAAGCTGAGTTTCCGGTGAAGATAATTCAGACATGAACATATAAGATAAAAAGCTTTATGATATATACACCCACCGGTTATTAAAGGCTCAAATAACATTCCATCTTTTGTATGTCTCTTGTTTAGTTTCCATATGTCCAAAGAAAACAACGGAGCATTCTTTCTCCGGCGTTTCAATGCACTGGTATCATTTAGTAGCCTTCCAATTTTACTGTAGTGTTGAACATGATACACATTGTCAGAAAGACTAATGGTTTGATGAGAAATCTATTTATTAATCAGATGATAATACATTAACATACTCATTCGACAATACTATATCATCCTCATCAATGAGTAGCATTCGCTTTCTTCTCCTTGCTTTTGGCTCCTCAGGAGGTGGTGTTGATTGAAGTACTAAATCAGGTGACTGATGCCCTGAATATCCATGAAAACGGAGAGTTATGCATGACATATATAATTTGAGTTTTAAGAAATAAGACTCTTTCACCCACCAAAAGATATCTGTGGATTAGTGAATTCTTGAACCTCTGCTGAAGTGGCAGAAGGTGGTTAGTCTCGTTCGACCATCTCTTCCACGACTAGGCTTGCACTTTCCTTGTCTTTCATGATCTGTTCCTCCAGAACTTTATCTGGTTCCATTACATCATTCCATTGATCTGACCATAAGGGAACATCCTCAGAACCATGATCATAGACAGCATCACGCATGATTTCAACTTCTGGAATATCTTGAGGAATGTCATCGTCAACAGTTCCTCCATTTAGTGCTGCCAGATTCTTAGGGGGGAGAATTTTGGGATTGAGCAGGAGTTCCATCTAGGTTTGATGGATCAGAACTGCAGCATCAAAGAAAACATTTATTCAAAACTTGGCAATAAATGGAAACAATCTACATTTATAGTCAGTCAATTAGATCCTTACTCTGTCTCAATAGGCATGGCACCTAATCCAGAAACTTCACCCGATTTTGACAAACTATTCCCTATGTCCTGTAAAAACGAGCTCTTAATCAAAATTACGTTGTCACTGTAAGTGAATAAATCTAAAATTCCCTGCAAACATGAAGCAAAAGATAAACCTACCTCATCAATGAAAATAGCTACGTACTGATCTTCACACATTAGAACTTGATCTACGTGACAAAAAATTTCATTATTAAGAATATCAACACTAATGAAAATGAAACAGAAAAAGGTGTTATTAAAACAGGAAATAAATTAAACAACAAAATACATACCTTCCAAAGTTGTCTCTTCGTAACTTTTAAGATGAGTATCTCCAAACCTGGAAATCAAAATGCATGTGTGACTTCCTACAGACACTAGACTACTAAAACCAAAAAAGTAATTGATATGCAAGGTTACCTATTCAGGTCAAGATCATCATCAAAAACGACACCATCAAGTTCAAATGTTTCTGGCAAAGTGATGGAGTGGTATGGTGCATGCATAGCATCTTCTGGTAGATTGAGATTTATAGACAAAAAGGCCTTTCTTATACCCAACGTTCTGCAGTCTTGGAGAAAGTATTCAACTTGCTTTGAGTATATCCGAACAACTCCAAGTAGAAGCTGGGCAGACCATCGTAGTGCAAGGGGTACATCCGGAAACATGATGAACTTTAGAAATAAATTTAAACAAGTAGCATCAGTATAACTGAGCAAACTCTTACAAAAAACTATAATAAGCATATCAAAGCTACTGTTATATAGTTATGTAGAGCAACTTAAGTCAAACTGTTATACATTCTTTCTTGCTTTTTTTTGAAATCATGCTTTAATCACAAGATTCACAAACAGCAAACTATGAGTGGAATAAAAGCTTTCTATAAGATATCAGCAACGGAAAGTGATGACACATTCGGAGAATATCAACTCTAGTAAACGATAAAGAACATAATAACCTATTACGATGAGTCTATGAATGCATCGCAATCAAGCTATTAAGAAAGCATCAAGAACTAATGAATGAAAACCAAGTGCACTTGGCATATAGCCCATATACCAGAGAAACTAAAGAAACATTTGAACTATTAAAAGTTTAAGCATACATATGTGCATGATTAGTCTCTCAACCACCTTCGTCTTCAATTATTAAACTACAGTAAATAAATCGACCTCCTTCGTGGTCGATCATCAACCTGTTGTTCTTTGTCGATCATCAACCTATTGTTGATAATCAACCTCTTTCTTGGTCAATCATCAACCTATTGTTGACAACCAACCTTCCATCAACCAATTGTTGATAATCAACCTTCTTCTTGGTCATTTGTCAGTCCATGGTCGCTAATCAACCTCGTTCTTGGTCGATTATTAACCTCCTTGGCGAAAAAAATTATATGTGTCTAAATAGCAGGGACATCAACCTATGGTCGATAATCGACCTCCTTCTTGTTCAATTAAAGTCATGTTCTTGATTTCAAACTTAAGGCAAGAAAAAAGAAAAAGAAAAAGAAGGTCTTTTCATTAGTTGAAGACTTAACCAAATCTTTTCTAGTGTGTCTATGTTAAAGTTTCATACTTTTATTTTACGCTTAAGAATACTCCAACCTCAAGAAAAAGGAGAATCTTTAATGTAAAAGAACAAACCTTTATCTCACAAAAAGTCCCAAACTGATACCAGCAAAACAAGAATCAGATAACCACATGAATTTAGAAGCAAAAAATAGATAAAAATTCCCATAAGAAAGAATAAAGGTTATATATACACTTAGCAGTTAGCAAATAAGAAGGGGCAAATTTGCAAGGAAAATAAAACACATTAGAAAACACAAAATTATAAGCATGAAAAATTAAATAGAAAAAAGAGTGAGCGAGAGAACAAACCAACAGTAGAGGGTATATTAGTGGAAGCATAATGAGACTTCTTCAACCTGCTTTGAATAGTCGCTGCCTGCCATACGGTCGATAATGGACCTTTCCGCCCCAAAAGCGTAAGCGAATAGAACATTCTCCGGCGATCGGCGGCGACTTTTCAGTTCAGGTTTACGGTTTGTAGGGGAATTCTAGTATTATTATATTTGGTTAATAGGGTTTTAAGGTTTCGAGAAGTTTATAGGGAACGCGGGAGATTGAATGTGGCGCCAATAGGTATGAGTGACGCTTCGATTATTTACGCAACTGCCACAGCTGTTTTAGTAGCTACGATTAACGACATCGTAGTAGTAGGGCAAATATTGATCTCATTATTGTGATTATAAGGGTGTTAATGCATCGATCAACCAGTTATTCCCAAAAAAAAAAAAAAAATTGCAATCTGAGGAGCCAAACCTTGCTGCTGACACTGC